TAGCCCGTCATGTTCGATTTAATGAACAATCATTTCCTTTCCAAACATCTCCTCCAACAACTCCTACTCCAACCACTCCAAATCCTTACGTCTCCACCTATCCCAAATCTGACCTCCCACCCACCTCTTCATCCTCCACAGGACCTAATGAACATTCTGCTCCACCAGAACCGACACCCTCCACCGCACCTACAGTGCAAACTGTCCCACAAGAAACAACACCTACCACCACCCCTCCTAATGACCACCCTACGGCCCAACCACCCCTTATCCACACCTATCACCGCCGTTCCATAGTCACCAAACAACCACCGCAGCCTACCCCTACCCCCCCTCCTCTACAACCGAACAACCCACCCGTACTCGACCACCCAACCTACGCCCCAATCCCAAACAAACCAAACCTTACAATGCCTCCTCATACCATACCCATCATCCTTCACCTGACACCGAACCGACCACCTTTACTATTGCTAACAGGTACCCTCAGTGGCGTACCGCCATAGCTGACGAGTATTCGGCGCTGATGCGGAATGGTACTTGGACATTAGTACCACGCGTTCCAAATTCCAACGTAATTGATTGCAAGTGGGTATACAAATTAAAAAGGGACCAAACAGGGGCAATAAAACGTTACAAGGCACGACTAGTAGCCAAAGGGTTTCGGCAGCAACCAGGCATTGATTATCAGGAGACGTTCAGTCCCGTGGTCAAATCGACCACCATACGTGTTGTTCTATCTCTGGCCGCAACACAGAAATGGTCTCTAAGGCAACTTGATGTGAAAAATGCCTTCCTACATGGTGATCTCAACGAGACAGTTTATTTGCAACAGCCACCAGGGTTCGTTGACCCGGACAAACCCGATTATGTTTGCCTACTTCACAAATCCTTATATGGATTAAAGCAGGCCCCTAGAGTGTGGATTCATCGACTTTCTACGGTCCTTCATTCTCTTGGCTTTCAGGGCTCCAAAACGGACCCTTCCTTGTTCATTTACTCCCATAGGGGCACCATTTTGTACATGCTAGTCTATGTTGATGACATTCTTTTGATAGGAAACAACCCGGAGGCTATTGACAAAGTGGTACAACGTCTTAGCCAATCTTTTGCTTTTCAGGATATGGGTCGCTTGTCTTATTTTCTCGGTATTGAAGTGACCAGTCAGAGTCATGATATGATTCTATCACAACGGAAATACATCCTTGAACTCTTGCAACGCGCAGGCCTGTCTAATGCTAAACCGACTTCATCTCCTATGACCACTAATGCTAATCTTGCTCTTGGTGATAGCGTTATGTTTGCTGATCCGGTCAAGTACCGCCAAATTGTGGGTGCCCTTCAGTATGTGACATTGTCTCGTCCGGATATTACTTTCGCGGTCAACAAAGTCTGCCAATTTATGCAGTCCCCCACTGAAAATCATTGGACGGCAGTCAAACGAATTCTTCGTTACTTGCAAGGCACTGCTGACTATGGTTTACGAATCATGCATGATTCAGGCACAATCCTTCATGCCTACMCTGATTCTGCTTACAACTCCCTAACTGGCTTCTCCGATGCTGACTGGGCTGGTTGCCCTGACGACCGTCGATCCACTGGGGGATATGCTATCTATCTTGGTTCAAACCTAGTATCATGGTCTGCACGAAAACAAAGGACTGTCTCTCGATCATCAACAGAGTCKGAATACAAAGCTCTAGCCGATAYTGTTGYTGAGCTCACATGGCTTCAAWCACTACTGCGTGAACTCCGGGTTCCTGTGAAGTCGGTTCCTACCTTATGGTGTGATAATCTTGGTGCTACGTATCTTTCAGCTAATCCTGTCTTTCATGCCCGTACCAAGCATGTAGAAGTTGACTTTCACTTTGTTCGAGAAATGGTTGCGCAACGGAAGCTTTCAGTTCAGTTTATATCTACAGATGACCAGATTGCAGACGTGTTTACCAAGCCGCTACCTTCACAACGGTTTCTCCTATTACAGTCCAAGCTACAGGTCGCTCCCCGGCCTTAGCTTGCGGGGGAATATTAGACAATTAAGTGTGATATATATATATATATATAATTATATTAGAGGGTCTAGAGTGTAAATGTATCTCTTATATATATCCCTGATTGTAATCGGTATATACACACACAATTACCAAGTATATCTAATCACAATAAATAATACTCCATCCAAAAAATGGAAAGTTGTCCAAAGAAAATGCATCCTTCCTTTTGGAAAGATCTCTTTCCAAATATACCTCTTTGCCCCTTAGTAACCATAAGAGTGATTATGAACCATAAGTTTTCTCAGTTTTTGTCTTATTAAGGGGTAAGTATTTGATCGTTTGTCAAAGCCATTTATTAAACTGCATGCCATGTTAACTGTTGGAATTTCTTGGGACAGAAAAAGTAATATTTTAACATCAAGACATTAGAAAGAAAACAGTTGTAACTAATAAGCAAAATGCAGCTATAAACTTATGTTCTTGATTATATAAGTGATAAAATTCAACAAATGGCTGCAAATCAGATTGGAAATTTTCACCAAATTCTAGAGCTAGAAGGATTAATCACATTGGAAATAAACTGATTGTGTGTCATATAGATACGCAATGCAGATAAGTTCATGGTGATCCAGAGCATATGTAATATGCTATAGTAATAATACCTCAAGTAAACAGTAATGATTCTCAATACGAAATACTACTAAATCCAACTTTTTATCTTGCACTTCAGTACCCTTCCGGTACTCCTTTACTCAGAAATTTGTCATATCTATCAGACCATGGCTTGTTACATCACATAATTAGATAAAATATCACTTCATGTTACTTCTTCATCATGCTTTATCTGATTGGTAGACAGTCAGAATTTTGTGGGATAAGGTGGGAAACTTCTATATGTAGGTCAAATCATCTACACTCAGGGTTGTATTAAGTCAGACTATTTTAAACTTTGTTGTAGTGTCATGATGAAACAGCTTTCTCTAGTGCAGGTCAAATCCCTAAATTCGCCTTCATCAAACAAGGCCACTATTCATCCAGTAGTCTCTTATTATTTGAGATTTAAATTTCTTAGGTAGCAAAACTTTGCAGCTTTCTCCAGCAAGCAAGCGTCAACATGAACCTTCTAAAGTGATTTGTGGGTCCCAAAGTTCGTCCTTCAAAAACAGGGCCACTAATTAAGTTGCCTCTTATTATTGAGAGTTAGTTTATTCGGTAGCAAAACACACATGTTATGGCATCTTACAAGTCAATAAATATATTCATCAACCAGAGAAGAAACAAATAAGATAGAGATGTCTCTTATAAAATGCCTCAAAAGATGCATACTAGCTCGAATCACACAAAAACATATGCATACAGTCGATAGATAAACTAACCTATTTACAGAATCTATTGCAGCAGCAACATGATCCTCGAGGTGACGAAAACAATGTAGGCCAGTCAGTTGATCACCATCCTATAAACAGAGAATTAGATATGTGATTAAGCGACAAAAGCAAATGTGTGCTCTGAAAAGCACATACAGTTTTCATTTCCACCATTACTATAAACCACAACAATTCAGCAAGTATATGTAGGAATCTTATTTAAACTAATTCTCATAATTAAAGCTTGCGTGTAGTGAAGATCGATTTTCTGATCAGCCAAAGCATCTCACAAGTTGACCACCAATACAAAATAAATTATGAGCCCATGATATATGCATTATCACAGTGATGAATTGATAAAGATTTATGGACTAAGAATACTTTTGCTTTAGTAATCAGACTACTGTTGCCTCATAAACTATCTACTGGCTGAAGCATTGGATGAGCAAGACATTTGATCAGATTTGACCAGCACCAATTATAACAACAATAACACGCCATCTTGCCTTAACAGTTGGTGTAGGCTAAAATATCTACAAGAAATCATAAAGGTGGATCAATCCTAAGACTCTTAAACATAAGAGTATTATAATTGGCCCACAAGCCCCTTCATTTACTCTATTTATGTAGACCAGGCCTCTCCCTCACTATGAAGAATTATTTAAACCCTAAACATTTACAAGACATTTGAAGCCAAGGTCTACAAATTGTAACTTCTCACCTCCAACACTTGTTAACTGCTGTAGATCATCACCCCTCTTGGCTGCCATTAATAGCCTACTGCCTCCACTGCAGATCATCAGTCCACTGCCTCATTTTGTCACTTTCACTTTTGGCCAGAAGATCACTAACACGTGTCACTGTGCTTGAGTCACCTTATCGCCACTTACACTTTCATTTTCCACTTCCATTTACGGCCACAAGATGCCTTCATTTACTCTGTTCACATAGGCTTCTCCCTCACTATGTAACATCCTTTTAAACCTAAACATTTACATGACATTTGAAGCCAAGTTTTACGTAGAAAAAAACCTGGTGATTGTAAATTCTCGCCTCCAACACCAGTTAACTGCTGCATATCAACACCCCTCTTGGCTGCCATCAATAGCCTACTGCCTCCACTGCCAATCATCAGTCTACTAACTCATTTTGCCACTTTCACTTTTGGCCAAGAGACCTCTAATACGCGTCATTGTGCTTGACTCACCTCACACCCTCAAATCTCCGCATCTTCATCCCTTTCTTGAACCACAGTTCTTTTACCAGCTATAAAGATTGTCATTGCTCCTTTGAGTAACCTGATCCTTCATATGGTATGTTGTCACCGCCCAACAAGTGCAGAGTTTCATTGCCACAAGAAGCTGTTGATGCCCTAGTGTCACACCCAATACTCCTGAATCTGGATTTCCATGTAATCGTTCAGTGTGGGCATTAGAAGCATGTTGACAAGCATTTCCAAGGCAAGAACTGGAATCTGCTAGAGATCCAGGGGCTCCACTGTTAAACTGGTGTTCTCATGTGTATATTAGATCATTCTTCCAGAGTGGTCTTCATATTTGTAACAGTATAAAAGCACTATTAAATGAGCCTAGAACCTTCTTACGCTGGTATATTCCTTGACGGACTAAAGTCTCCTATAAAGGAAGGACCGAAGAAGTACTGCTCATTTGCAATCTTTAATCCAGTAAGTGATTAAGAGATAAAAGAATAACTGCTCAGTGTTGGCACAAAGAAAGCTCTTTGTAGTGAGTTTGAAATGAAAGATTTAGGAAATCCTAAGAAAATCTTAGCCATGGATATAAGTAGGAAGTAGGAACGGGAAGGATGGTTTATTGGATTTGTCCTAGGAAGGTTATCTTAACAAGGTTCTTAGCAAGTTTGGTATGTCAAACTGTAAACCAGTTATCTCACCCTTGTCACAACAGTTAAGATAGGTGTGGATCAGTCACGAAGACTAGTATTGATCAAAAATTATATAAAAGCCATTCCTTATGCAAGTACAGTGAACTTTGTGATGTACACCATGGTTTATACATGCACAAATTTGGCTTCTGCTGTTAGTATAGCGAGTAGATTTATGGCTAATCCTGGTGGAGCTCATTGGCAAGCTTTGAAATTGGTTCATATATATATATATATATATATATATATATAAAATTAGATAAAAATAACAAGGAATAGAATTTGATTAGTTGGTATTCAAAATATACGATTAAGTTTTTATTTCAGGCAAATTTAAAATTGTTCCTTATAACGTATAATATAAAAAAAGAATTCATTAAACTTATCCAATTAACTTCTCATCCCATAATGAATTAGTTAATGAGTTGAAAATAAACAAACTAAAATGAAGAGTTATTATTTCATTAGACCGATGACCGCCTAGCAGCACGACGCTTGTATTGCTCTCCCACAACCCCGTTCCATTTCGACAAAAGACCCACACCCAAGTTCCATAGGGTCAACTGGATGATTGTTAGTCTATGGTGGAATGAGAAGGTGCTGGTTCAATATTGTGAAAGGTTTTGTGGATTCTGATCAAGCTGGTTGTTTAGGCACCAAGAAGTCTCGTACTAGATATGTGATCAGTGATTTTAGAACTGCTATAAGCTGGAAACTTGGTTTGCAAAAGATTGCAGCATTACTTCCTCCATAGCTTTAACTGTGGTTGTTAAGGAAGCATTGTGGGAGGAAGCAACTTCTCGGGAGTAGAGGATTCAAAAGTGTGTTCTCACAGTATACTTGATGGTCAAAATGCAATACAATGTATCATGGGAGAACTAAACATATCGACGTTAGGTTACATTTTATCAAAGAGGTAATTGCTAATGGGCCAGTTATAGTAGATACAGTATCAACTGATCATAATTATGTGAATATGCTTACTAAAATCTTACCTAGCAGCAAATTTTTCCATTGATTGGATTTTACAGAAGTCTGAGTTCTTGAAGCAACATAGCAGCCACTATTTCGAGACTGGTGCTGAACCAATTTGTCCATTGTCTAAGGCAGATATTAGATAACTGACTTCTCTGGGTTGCAATTAGATGGCAGCTTGTGATGATAGAATATGACAGTCAGTTGGTTTTAGTCTAAATAGAGGTCTTGGTTTAGTCTTATTAAATACGTTAAATCTTGTTTTCCTGTAATCTAATAATAATACTATGCATATTGGTTCAAGGGAGAGCTCTGTAATCGTAGGAGAGACTAGAGAGAGAAACCGAAAGTAATAATAGTGGATGTTGTGGGAGGTTCAATCGATTTATATCAATAGTTCCAAACCACATAAAAATTTTGGTGTTGTTTTAATTGGCCCTTTTCTATTGTATAAAGTGTTCTTGTGGATATTCTTGAATCTGTGTGAAGATTGAAATTGAAGAAGCAAAGATTTCTTTACAAGTTCCATGATTAATTAGAAAACTTAATTTGAGAAGAAGAAAAGATCTAGAACGGTGGTACAAATATGTTTTGACTATTTATTAAATATCTAAAGCACCTTCCAAATGAGCCTTATTTTTCAAAATAAGTCTAATGGAATCTTGTTTTCCAATTTAATTTTTGAATTTATTTGTTATTGAAGGGTCTCTAGTTGTTGTTTTTAACTTCATTTCTTTAAGGGGTTTATTCATATAAAACAAAAAGAATGTACTTGGATAGTTCATTTGATTTTAACAGGCAAACCAAACATGGTAATCAAATGATAATTGCTTATTCGATTCGCTTGTCCATTACATTACTTTCGCATTCAATTCCATCCGATCAAATGGAGCATTAGGTTTACTTGGTACATAAAATGTGTTGTGATTAAAGTGACATGGATTGACATGAGAAAACATAAATATGTGGCAGTTGGTATGACAGTATGACAGCTGCATGTTGAGATATTCGAACAAACTAATGAAGTCAATGCTATCGAACCAAACAAATGGAGTAGCATGAGAACTCTCGTGGCATTCCCGATACCATGAGAGCTCATTTTACTAGTCATGAGTTAGCGATGGCAGATATTAAGGAGCACCTTGTCATTTGAGTGAAAAAATTGAGGGAGGTGATAACACATTTGTGACAAAGGTAAGACCACACCATGCCAAGCCAACCGACAATGTGTGAACAAGTAGCAATTTCAGCCACAATAAATCTTGTTTCCAGAGCAAGGTGATGAAAGCTTACACACACCTTCATTTTCAAGTCGATTATATACAGTATAATGTAAATTTGTAATTTCCCAGAAAAGGTGGATGTTTATGGCAATGTTGACATTTTCGGTATAGTGAAACTCCTTGAAGCCAACTTGTTGTGTGATATATGTAGAGCAACATATTAAGCTTAACACCTACAAATATATTTATGGATCGACATATAATTGCTTAAGCTTTAAGGTTATATTAGAAAACCTTCTAAAAAAACGAATTATTATGTCAAAGCCATTAGCCCTAAATAAAAATCACTGATCTCACAATTTAGATGCATTATACGTTCAATTCTTAATCAAACATAATTGTTTACTATTAGAATGAGTGTGTTTCCACACTACCATCATCTACATTTTATCAAGGCGGTAAATTGTATAGTTCTTTTTCTTTGGGTAATTACTTTAAACAAGTACCACAATTTACCTTTATCATTGCAGCAGTCATACCTTTAACCAGACCTTTAAATTTCATATTCTTTCAGCAAGTAAATAACACTACAATAGAAAAAAAGGCAACCATGTTTCTGCGCCATTTAGTTCTGTTAATGAGAAGCAATTCCAACTTCTAATTTATTAATACTTTTATAATCCACCTAGTAGAATCATTTAAAAGAAGTAAACTTCATATCATGTTGATATTTTCACTATTAAAACAAACATTGCACTCAATATGAATAATAAAGTATTATCAAGTATAAAACAAGAATGTAATCAAGTGTAACACAGTACTATATTCATATACCAGGAAATGCTTCAAATCATCAGTGACATCTAAAGCTCCAGCACAATCAGCAGATTGGACAAGCTACAAAGCAATTGAACAAGAGAATTACAGTCATTTCATAGGCTCAAACATCACATATAGCATATTTTCTGATTATTGATTAAAAAGAACAGATATGAAAACCATTAATTTAACTGTGTATCACAATTGATTCCACTTGCTGTAAGTTGCCACCAAACCAAATATCTTTTATGTTGATAACAATGACCTAGATAACATTTCTTCAAATAATTGGTTCTCATCAGAAACCTTGTCAGGTAATAACATGAAGGCAGAGTATCAAAGCAAAGAAAAGCTAAAAGCATGAGGACAAATAAGCTTCATTTTCTTGACTTCAAAGGGAGGTTTACTTTTATCTTTATACCAAACCTCAGCAATTCTGAGGAAGCTGTTCTGGGTGAAATTGTTACATGCATATCTACTTTCTGAATCTTTTCATGTGGGTGGTTTATTAACTGTAGGCCTCCTTTTCAGTTGCCAACATCTTTATAATATATATCTTCCAATACATACTTTCTGTATTAGCATGTTATTAATTCAGCAAATCCAAGGAGAACAAGATGTTGGTGAGACGCTTTTGGATATGTTAACATTTCCATTTCATGTGCATTACAATGACAGGTTGTATATCAACCGGTGGTTCGAACCCAGCACTGCTCCTAGGCTGGAATGAGAAAGAACTAGTGGTTTCAATCTTTGAAGTCCTGTTTATATGCTTCTGACTTCACATAACATTCCCCAGTTTCTTGCATCCAGTTCCTCATGCATGCTAGAGATGTTGGCAACCTTATGCTTGATTCTTTTCCTAGATGTAGACAACCTTATGCTTGAATTTTTTTTTCCTTTTTCATTTCTTGAACAGAAAATCTAAGGATCATAAAGCAAAGTTGGCAGCCACAAGCAAGTATTACTGGGTTTCTCTTGTATCCCTAGCTCTTCTATATTTATTTCTACTACAATCTAGATATACTATAGAGGCATGAATACTATTTTGTTTATATACGAGTATAGGATTCAATTGGTCCTAATGCAACTTCAGAAGGATAAATAAACTTGAAGAAGAGTCTTTATATGCTATTTCATAACAATGTGCTTGAATCTAATCAGTGCCAGGTATAATTTGTAGTCACCCTGAACTAGAACACAAGAAAGCAACTAGTATCTCCAAATAAACACACAAACAGCACCAGAAAAACAAACAGAAGGAATACCAACTTAAGTGCCGCAAGAGATTGGTTAACGTATAATATAAGCCTAAGCTTCTCCTGCAGTGCCAACAAATCGCTCCGGGTAAGATTTAAATCCTGAATTTGACAAGCTGAATCCACTAAATCTACATCCAAAAGCCTAATCGTCTCCTTCAATTCTCTGATCCGACTACACCCCTCGACAATCTTCAGACTCAAATCTTCTAACTGAACCTGTGCCTCAAAAAACGAATTCGAACGTAGTGAGATCTCCTTAACCAGATGAAGCTCCACGACGTCCAGGTACTGTGACAACTTTTCTTGCATTACGGAGTTCTCGGCGACTGTAGAAAACGGGCAGGCGGCCCTGAAAGTTGCTCCGTCTTCGAGTGAAAAATCCTCCTTGAAATACAATGCGGGGACTTCCCGCAAACAGGCGACCAGGGCTTCCCCTGCCCTCTCATGGTGATCAGGGGCATCCTCATCCCTGCTCTCCTTGTTGGAGTGGTTCCTGATGTCTTCGAAGCGGCTATGGTGCTCGGATATTGAGGACAAATAGGATGTGAATTCAGATCGAGATATTTCTGAACCAGGGGTTTTGTTGGCGGGAGGAGGAGCGAATTCAGGGACTTGCACAGCAGTTGAAGAGGACCACCAACCGACCCAGGAGCCGTCGGAGACATGTGGGTTGTTGAGAACGGAAGATAAGCTTTGGGTACTTGCATCGGAGAGTGATTTGGATAACAACGAAGAGGGGGAAGAATTCTGTCGATTAGGGGTGAACCTTCCCGATCTGGGGGAAGGCCGTAGATCCATTTTCTTCACGATTTGTACAGCATCAATCAATCCTAACGGGGTTTCCCACTTCCGATATCAATCAAATCAAATCAATATATGGCGTTCTTTAACGTGTACAGACAATCTCTCATCTGTGTTCGATCAACTTTAAGCCCATGAATCAGTAATAGCTAAGGATGGATGGAGATCGAAAATGGGGGTGGGGGGCCAAACCAGCTGTGTTAATAATGATACACTGCCTTGATGTTAAAACTTAAAATTATTTAGCTGACTGCGCTTCAAATGGATGGGTTTGCAAAATCTGACCTCGTCTTATTAGTATATCAATAACTTGGGTGAAGTTTGGTTTATTGGAATCCGATGAAATTTAAAGGATGTGAAATGGTCAATTTTGCTGATTAAATTTTGTTCATGTGTTTGGTTTATTATTTGAGTTTTTAGGTCATAAATTCGAATTCCACATATAATGGAGCCATTTTCCGGATAATTCAAATCAAAGCAATTGGATGTTCAATTCGGACCTATATGACATCATCCATCAATAAAAATATTTTCTTTGTGCTTTAGCAAGGAATTCAGATTACTCCAACCCATCTTCTATGGAAAAACTATTATGTTCTTATATTCATTCCATTTCATCCACCATGCGGTTGTCACTATCACCACTGTCAACACCACCGTCACCACAGTAGCCATTGTTGGATGTTCGTGGTGCGGTTTAGGGTCAAATCATAAACTGCACCGCATATATGGTTTAAAGATTTTCCCAAACCGCAAAAATTGCAGTGCGGTTTATACGATTTGAGCCTAACACATTCCAATCCAATAACTATACAATCACAACTTCATAATGAATTCGATGATGATGCTCTTATATTCCATAAAATAAAAACTTTTGCTACTTACTAAATGCGTAATTCAAAAAAGCAAAAAGGCATAATGTAAACAAAATAGTTCATAATTAATCCAAAAGTTAACTTATAAATAATTTTGATCATGATTTTTGACAAAAGGAAAATGAAATTAACTCAAACAAGAAATTTGTAATGTAAAAACTAGAAAGGAAAACCGAAAATTTAATAAGTAATCAATAATGTTTTCTATTATTTTCATTTGAAAAATGATTATATTATATATATATATATATATATATGTTTATTAATATATATATATATATATATTTAAAAATATATTATAGAAAACATACGGTGCAGTACGGTTTGAATCGGGGTTTAATAAATCAAAACTGCAACGTAAAATGCGGCTCGATGAAAAAGCAAATCGCACCACGAATGTCCTAAACTACATTTTGCTACTGGTGCAGTATGTTGCGATGCGGGAGGTTTGTGCAGTTTGGTGGTTAAAATAAACACCCCTACTTGCCGCTACTTAGTTACGACCATCGCCTTTACCCCACCACTGTTGACGTCGCCATCGTCGCCAACACTACCATTACCACCATCGTTTTCACACTACCACCATCGCTGCCGCCACGGTCGCCTTCACCCCATCACCATCGTCGTTATCACAACCAATGTCACCATAGTCATTGCCACTGTTAGTACTACCACAACAACCACTATCACTACCACCTCCACCCACCTATTACTAGTATCTTCAATCAACCAAATAGATAGATTTAAGAAAAGAAAAAATGACAAATTTTATTCGAGTCTCTGTCAACCAAATGCATGGTCAAACCTGATGAAATTCCATTTAAGTTCCTTCATATTCCAATTCCTTTGACGGATTTCAATTCTGACAGATTTCATTTTGCGTACCAAATGTCACCTTATATCTACGGAATGCAACTATATTAACCAAACAAAAAGAAAAAATTGTAGTAAATGACTAAACTCTCCTAAACATTTGAAAATTTATGGCATTCTGTTTTATGAGATATGGCTCTGAATGGTTGTATGCAAACGGGATAGGGGGTAAATTTCTTGATTGGTAAAAACTATTCGGCGTAGAAGGGTTCGGTCTCATTATTGGACTTGGGTTCGGCATGGAATTAGACGACATCTGTTATGAATAAGAAGACAACATATGTTATGAATAAGAAGAAGACACCTTGTTAAGAGAATACTTCAATGATAGTAATGTCGTTATTGTTAAGACTGTTGGAGGATAGTTTCAAGAAATGCTCCAATATAGAACACAAATACAAGCTTGGTCTATGCTTATTTTTAAGGGTGTGTTGTTAGCAAGGCGCTTCTATAGAAGTTACTCTGAATTTCTTGGTCTTGATCAACAATCTTCATAACTTCAGTTATCTATAGGAAGGGTGTTCTACAAAAAAAATCTTTTGGTTACTTTAACATAGGACATGTTTCATCTCAATGAAAATATGGAAAAGAATGGCATGCAAATTTAATAGGAGACCATGCACCGATAGATCCCGTGAACTGATTATGAACATTAAGAAATACAATCACAAACAGAATATGAATGAGGAAGTCATCATGTCATTGACTTCAGTCTTTGATCTTGAGAAACAATTCTTAATGAATTAACTAAGTGTCTAACTCTAGATAATGCATCCAAATTTAGTTCCAAACTCTGAAGAACTTTGAAGAGTTCAGCACTTAGACTTTTCTTCACTTTCAAACTCTGGAATCATTACTTCAGACTTGTTGTCGAACTCTAGATCCATGTGTTCATAGTTATATCCGAACTCTAAACTAACTCTGAAATCAAGTCTTCAGACTTTCAAGATTTAGAAAATTTGCACAACTTTGAACCATCTTCTTGTTTCAACAATCTCTCCCATTGGTTCAAATTTGTATATACACATCAAATTTGTATTCTCTCAGAGTTTTCACAAATCTTGACATGATTAAATTCCTAAAATTCAATTGAACTTGAATTAGATGAACCATCTTCTCTATCAGCTTAATGTTATGATTTCTCCTTTCCTTCTTCTTCTTTAAGAAATTTGGATTTGCCTCAGAGTTTTAGATGAGTACTTAGAAACTTCATATACTCTAAAGAACAACCTTTCTCCTTCTTTGTAGGTCTTGAAAATGAAACCAGCTTCAGGATGCTCAATAAGAGATCCACTTTTGAAGTTCTTGATGTTCTCCAGAAAGGTATTAGGGATAATTAGGTACATTGTTCCCTTGTTTAGCTCCAAAGCAACTTGAAATTCAACCAAAGCAGCCCATTTAGTTACCCTTAACATTCCATGTCTTATTATTGAAATGGATTTTCTGAATCTTGAGATTTTATCTTCATATGGAGCCAACAACAAGTGCATTTCCCACAAATCTTGTAAACAAATACTCTTGAAATAAGCGTTTGTAAGAGTATGAGCATTTCAATCTTCCTTTATTACATCAAAAACCATATAATCGAAGTTTTTAAACTTTCTTAACTTGACATCTTCAATGTTGGTGATTCTCAAATCTGAATAAACATGCCTCTTTATTTTACCAACCTTTCTAAGAATTCCCAATAACCATTTTTGAAACTTCCAGATTTACACTCAAAAGTATCTAAATAAGATACTGCTTTGAAACTTTCTATGTTTTGAGGAGATGCCAAAATCTGAATTCTAAGGACCATTCTTTTGCATCCACTTCTTCAAATTCATCACCCATATGATTTACCTCTCTTTTTTCTTTAGTGATAATCCCAAAATCATATACAATCAGATTAATCCTTCAATAATAGATTTGAGATGAATAGAGAGAGATTTTCACCAAAGTTGAATATGATATTTCTTGAAAGAATTTACAACATGATCAACAACAACTAATCTGAATTAATCTGAACTAATTACAATTAACAAGCTAAAGACTATTTATACTAGGAAATTAACAAAGGCTAACTATTACAAAACAATTACAATGGGAGAACTTGAATACAACAATTAAGCACATTCTTGAACCCAACAATCTCCCCCTTTGGATTCAATGTCGAGACATTGTAAATCTTGTCTTTCTAAGCCCAAGCAGTGTCTCTAGCCTCCTTAGCGCACTCCGGTATTGCAATTTATCATCAAGCAGGTTCAGAACATTGATCAGCATATACCTCTCTTTCGGACTCATTCTTTCAGATTCTGCAGCTTTATCATTGTTAGCTTTTCTCGTCTCAAGTGCCCGTCACACTATCCTTATTGTGCCATCATAGTACTTATTCAGCTCATTAAATCTCATAAACTTCTTTATCCGACCTTCAGCACTCTACACCACTCCGAACTCTGGTTCTTCAAGAATAATATACAGAGGATAGCCTTCAATATCTTCAAGTTCTTGGTCAGGTATTTTCAGATTCATGATCTTCTGACTGTCTTCAAGACCCATTTGGATATCAAGAACCATTGATACTTTGACATGACTCCGCATAAATCTTTTGATAGCATTAAGAGCAACTACTGCTCCTTCTCTTCTGATCGTCATATTTCGTAGTTCATGGTACATGTGCTCCAAGTCTTCTAAATACATATTAGAAAAATCAGTTTCACTGAATACCCAGACCTTTCTATCTTGTCTTGTAACAGTGAACACATGATACCAAACTCTAAGGAGTCTTTGGGCATCAATTTGTTTGATGGAGACAACACGATGTCTGGTCCGTACTTGGCTGATTGGGAGACGCTTCGCCTTGAGAAAATGCTTGTACTCTAAACGATAATCTCGGGTTTCTCTATGAATCCCAAGAATCTTGTCAGCACTAAGAGTTTTCCGATGTCGAAGAAAGATGCCGAAGTAAATGTCTTCCAAATAAGGCTATCTTATTCTTGCTCTGTCATAACCTGGAACATTTGCACGAATTGCAAATGGCACGTAATTTTTAGAAAATATCTCAGTAGGATCATACGCTGCTCTCGGAGTTTCAGATGCACCAAGATCAACTGCAGTGGAGGGTTCAGATGGAGTCTGATGATCACCCTAGAATGGGAAGATAGGATCTTCTTCATTGATATCAGCTTCAAAGTCAAAATACATCCCGGATGACTCATCAATATTGTCGATGTCCTCACCAAAATCCTGATCTCCACCCAGTTCTTTTGAAAACGCTTCATTAAATCCCATGTTGGCAGACAAATCCAGAAGCAACCTTGTTCCTATATTGGAGTCCGCCGATTTTTCAACCATTGGCTCGATCACTGGATTTGTCTCCAAAATTGTCTCATTTTCAACTATTATTAAGCATGTAGTCCTTTCCCTTGTTGTTTCCAGAACAGGACTTTCGACGTTAACCGCTTGAGAATCTGGCTCCCTTTCAACACTTTCAACAAGACTAGACGACTCAGCCAGCCTCTATCTCTT